GTGTCAGACGCAAAACATTTCAGAAACCGTATGTATCAAATATGATACATTTGGCATTATAGGGTTAAGAACACAAATGACAAATGACAAATGATCAGGTGATTATATGGTTGAATTGTCTCTCCAGAGGAAGAGAGCTGGATGGAAACAGAGTGAGCCGCAAAGGAAGGTAAGGTGACTATAGAGTGAAGAACAAGGATGAAGGTTGATTATTTTAGAGACAGAATAAAGAGGCAAACCTGATGGGAGCTCCTCTGGACTGGGCTGGCTTCAGCAGGATGGTGATCGTCGTCTCCGTCTCATTGAGCGCGCTTTCTGATTCATACTCAGGCATCATGGGAGCTGAAACGAGACGTTTCTGCAGCATGAAAACTGTGGGAACCTTTAATGAAAGACAGCCATAACTGTACAGTCTATGTTATTCAAATATGGCCCAGAAATACAGCAAAAATACCACATAAGGATTTAGAAGAAACTTTTACTGTAAAATTAAACTTTCAAATCAGTCATCAGATTTCTATTATTCTGAATTGCAAATTTTTGCTGTTTGGTTGATTCATTCACCTGTTCTTTATAGTTTCTACGTTAAATCTGAGCTCATGTCAGTGTAAGAATAAAGGCAGATGTCTGAGCAAACCTCATCATGATGGTTAACCTCATGTTTAGTTTAGAGACGTCCCAAATGATTTAAGCCGGGCATACACTGTAAGATTTTTTGCCCTTTTCGGGCCGACTTTCCAGAATTAATGTACAGGGGATAACGAGGGGCGATCAGCCTTTCACGACCACCTCCCGATCAGGAATCATGAAGTCGGGAGAAAATCAAACACGTCAATGTGAGCTGTGAACTCGAACTGTACGACCAACCGCAGGGTTTCGTCGTACGGTGTGAGCTATACATGCGAGCAATGGTTGAAAAAATTTGCACAGTGTATGCCCGGCTTAATACGGTTCAATAAATCATTGATGGATCAATATAATTTAAGGCCATTTCAAACTGTGTAAACATGTTTCAGTATTCATACTTAGCAATTCACAGAGGATATAGGTAACAGAACGTTTGAACAGGAAACATTTACACACAGAATAAAATCGAGTGAAGAGGTGAAAGAACGGTTTATGCATCAGAGAATTTTGGCAATCACATCTTTTCTTCTTTTCAGGCCATCATGGAAAAACACCAAACACACATTCCAGTTAGATTTCCACATGTTGTGCACATACATTCACACTACAGTATATTACATATTATTATTGTGTTGTTTCTTTTAATTATGACGACTGCTTTTTACCATTTATTGTTTTTATATGTACAGTGACCTTGAGTGTTTTGAAAGGCGCTTGAAATAAAATGTATTCTTATTATCATTAAAAAGGGGATAAATACACTGAGAGGAATGGGGCAGCTTTGGGGGAAAATAGCTTTTGAGATGTGAGCACTGTATGGTATTATTTTAGGACAGCATGTTAGAATTCGACTTGTCAATAAATGGTTTTCCCCACTCCGGTGGACAGACGAAGTGAATCGTCTCCAGTGTTTTGATATTTTTCAAAAGAAAATTCTAACATTTTGAGCCCCAACAGCATCCATCACCTCTAACGCATCGTCCCGTTCAGAGGAGGGACTCTACAAATGATTTGATTCTCACTGATCAAAAAACTTCTGTTTAGAGGCCTAAGATCATTTATCTAGTTTTATGACATCATTTCTAAACACTTGTTTCAAGGTTTAAAAATCTCAAAGAAAGAAGACATTTGCTGAGATTTATTAAGGTTTTTGTAATGATTTTAGACGTCACGTTTTTTTTTTTTACCAGTTTAGAAATTAGTTACATTTACTTGAGAAACCTTTTAATCAAGATTTACTTTCAGGAGTGGTTTTGCTGTCTTGTGCTTTTTTCTAAGTTAATAACATTAAGAAGTATCACTGGTTTTATCAGAGTAAAATCTCCCCATGTGAGTGACCTCATTGGATAAACTAAAATACACAACATGAAATTCATGTTAGAGTGAGACTTCCTGTTAGCACAAGCTTTGTGTGTTGTTTGCCTCCATGTGGATAAAGTTTAGTGTGGAGAAAGTTGACCTCCACAGAGTCCTGACCTCAAAAGGGCAGAGGTTCACTATCTGACTCACAAACTGCGTTAACAGCCTGATATACCTTGGCCACACTGTGTTTCTACCTTTCTTATACCTTTTTAAAAATACTTAGATTATCCTGAGCTATTTTCTGCATTTGTGCTGCTATAGGCTTAGACTGCTGGATGACATAGAGAACCCTTTCCATCATTCTATCTCTATTCTCGATCCTGCTGTATTTGTTCAACCTCTAACGTTCTGCTCTCTCTGCTTTTTCGTAGCTTCATCTGTTCTGTTCCTGTTTGACTGTGACTCCATCTTGGAGAGAAATATCTGCTGTCCTGCTTCCATCAACACCTTTGTTTACAGATGTTGGAGATCGGCCTGTTTTTCCAGTGTAGTCCTGTTTCTCTGACTGTGACTAACTGGATGTGCTCTCTTCATCCTCTGACATGAGAGTTGGCTTGGAGCTGGTGTGCCTGGCTGTGTTTCTCCTGGACGGGGCAACCTGTGGAGCTGGTTTACAGTTGCCTTTTGTTTCTCTGCTTCTGTCTCCATGAACCCCAGCCGGCCTCGGCAGAAGGTCGCTCACTCTGAGTCTTGTTCTCCTTAATGTTTCTTCCTGTTAAAAGGGAGTTTTTCCTCTCCACTGTCGCTACAAGCATGCTTAGTGTGAGGGATTGTCTTCAAGTCAATAAGTCGATGCAATCAGTAGGTTTTTCTTAGATAGAAAATCATACAGTCAGAAAGAATCTGACTGTATGATCCGGTTGAGTTTTCTCTGTAAAGTGCCTTGAGCTGATGTGTTTTTAATTGTCACTATATAAATAAATTGAATTGAATTGAAACTGGAGGGATTAACTGCATTCACAGGCTAAAAGCAAAGCTCACTGCTAAAGACGGAGCAGATAGACCCGACTCTTTAGAAATCAGGAAAGTAATCTTTAGCTGGACTTTTGTGTATGGTGTAATTTTACTTTAGTAATGATATGTTGGAGGAGTTCTCCTTTTTATTGAGTTTAGTTTCTGTTGCTCCGCCCACCTGTCATAGTCACAAACAATTATTCATCTGATCACAATAAGCTCATCCGCTGCTTGTAAGTGAAACAAAGAGACGGATGAACGTTGTGCTGAGAGACTTTCTATCACTTCCAGGTTTTACCTCCACATGTGTCACAGCTTCATGCTGGAGTTGCAGCAATAAAACGTCTGAGTGAAACGGAAACACTAGGAGCCCCCCCCCCATCCCTCTCCATTTTCCGTGTCCCTTTAATTCAAAAATCTGGCTGTTCTTTGGACCTCGAATGAGATAATGAAGATTAAGGATGGCGTGACATTTGGAGGGAGACATATCTTTCATGTGAGGATGGAGCATCTCTCTTTCTTTTCTTTCTACTTATAGCGAGATGTTGTTAAGATTAGTGTGAATGATTGAAGGGAGGAGGCTAAGAGGAAAAGGTCATGCTAAATATCCCTGCAGGTGTTGACAGAGAGGCCTGCGTCTGCAACATGCCGATGACATGGGGGGTGTGGTGGTAGTGGGAAGGGAGGGTGGTGGACTCAGCTGAATCTGAGCTTTAATGCTAAAACTGAAGAGTTGACATGATCCTAAGAGGGAGGAGGACACCAATCCTAACTATTTCTCACT